ACTGGATCTTTACTGCATTTAGGAGGCTGAAATGCACTACAAAATAGTAAGCCCTATGCAATTGCAGGTTTTCTCTCACGGAGATTGTCTGCCCTCTCCTGTTGCCAAATTTTGAGTGTTTTGTTAGAGTTCTTTCAAACTTCCTTTGGGGTTTCTGGGCCTTATGACTCTCTCTACCAATTCCTTATTTATTTTTAACTGTTTTTTGGTTTTCCTACTGAATTCCTTCTAGAAGGATTTTGAGGGGTTTTTTTGAGACGATACGCTTATTCTTTGTCTTTGTTCATACCTGTGCTCATACCTGTTCATACAGTTTTTCTGTCTAATGCTGTACTTCTTGTGACAATGTTACTACCACTGCATCTAGATCTGATTGGAAAATTTCTGATCTTTCTCCTTGATATATTAGTAGAAAGAACATATAGAAGTATTTTGTAGAATTTCTGTAGGATATTTTAAAATGTCCTTTAACTCACGTGGTTAGGAATAATTTCCTAAGCAGCTACCGTTAACACAACTGTTGGCTACAGAATTTATCAAATGATCACACCAAAATTTAAAACCTTGCTACAGGAATTAGCTAATTAAGGCTATGAAAATGGCAGAAAATACCTTCTACTTAAGGATAGCTTGTACAGCAATGACTCTCTTTTTGTGAGGAAAAAGTAGGCTTTTCTCCCGTTTTCCCCTCTTATTTTCATTCCTAAAGACTCTTTCTATCAATGTATGACTAAGTCACTCTTATGTCAATTTTTGTGCAAAACTGATTTTCCCTCATGGCTGCTTTTGGCCTAGAGCTTGTGAGCTTCAGTCTTTGTCAGTGTGGAATGAAGGAATACAAAATTTTCTGCAAATTGCCCCAGTGTATTAGCACTAGAGCTGTGTGAACCTTTCCAAGTGTGTTTTGAAAGGGTTACTTTCAAATCATAACTTCTGTGGGAGATCCAGTTCATATGGGTTCACAGGCCAACCAGTAAAGGAAAGGTTTTGGGCTGATCCCCCCTCCGGCCTTCTTCCCATGAGTTTTCCCATGGGTTGGATCTCATTACAAACCCACAGGCAAGGTACGGGGTCAATCACATCATGTTAATTCATACAGGTTGCCTGGTTCACTGGGACTGGAATCTGGATTAAAGGTGAGAAGTTTATCACAGCAACAGAACTCTGATTGTAAAAAAAACAAGCAACTCTAAAATAGGCATCATATGAATCAAAATTTTAAATAAAAAGATCGTTTCTATTAATCGAGACAATCACACGGGGAATCAATCTTCCCCTGCCAGGAATACTCAGAGGTTGGCTTCACTTCTAACACAACAAGAAGTCTGATCTCAAGGAACTATTTCTTTCTGAACCTTGGGTATGATTACGTGAGCTGAAGTATCAAATAGTAATGAGACAGTTCTACACACCTGGAGAATTACAGAGCGAGACACATGAGGGAAGGAAACATTTTAATGACTCTTCTGGCTAGAGAGGTGAACTCAACTGAAATGCTTTCTTTTTTTCCTGAAAAAATCAAGTGAAAACACCTTCAGGTGAGCAAAAATGACACCTGGCAGCTTTGATCCTGTGCATTAATTTTAACAAATCAGGGTAACGTAAGAAGCATGAAAAAACTTCCTACATGAGCTCTCCAAAGAAATAAAGTTTAAATGTATTATGAAAATTGAGTTTTACTGTGATTAGTCTGAAAACAGTCAGTGGCATCCTAAACAGTTCTTGCTTCACTTGTTTGCTTACAGTCATTATACTAAGATCGGACTGCAAGACTGCAGTCTTTCTACCTCCAGATCTAAGTCAAGCCAAGTGCAGACAAAACAGCTTCAGTTGTTACCTCTTAGAGTAGGCAATCGTGTTGATTTATAGACTTTTTTCTTTGCTTGTCCTTTCAGTTCACTAGTTTGTCTTCATCAAAAACAGTTCAGTTTGATTTGGGTATACACTGTGCACATGCGAGTTATCTTTGGCAACTCAGTGGATATTTAGAAATGCATGCACATTATGTGTGCATGTATACTCTACCTAGAGTATACAGTATGCACTAACAGCAAGCGCTCTTCTATATGTAGTGCTCTGTACAGTAGATTTAAACCTAAAATGGCTGACTAGTTTCTAAATAATCCCCTAGGAAACAGTTTAGTCTGGGCCATTATCTTGATAGTTCATAATTAGGTTCAATAATAAAGCTTGTTTTGCTGACCTAGGTCAGATCATGGCGTCCACCGCGTCTATGCGCAGTGACCTTGCTCTGAGAGTGTATTGTTAGAAAATCCATTATTATCATCACATACACTTCGGAGAAGTGGCTGTTTTGTGAATTGATGGTGTGATGTTGCCACTTTAGATAAAAGAATCCATGAATTATTGACTTAATGAGTTAATGTTGCTTGATTTCACAACGAGGTCTTTTTAGTCTGGATGCTATTTACTGAACACATAATCACAACATGAAGGAAGGCACAGATAATAGTTTGTAGAGTGCATTTACAACCCTCTTCACTTCTAACAATGCAAAGTGTTAGCTAAGAATAGTTCTGTTTTGGAAAACCATTAAAACTTATGCATTCATAAACAGCTCATGTTTAAACAATTGACAAATAATGTTTACTTGCTGCTGTTTTATTATCCATCTTTTCTCCTTCATTTAAGATCTGTCACCAGCTAGAACTTGCTGATTTTAAAGAAGGCAAAGATATCTCTGCCCCTATGACTAAGCTTTAATGTTGCTATCACATAGAGGTCCAGGAGAGGCTGTTAAAAGCCAATCCTTGTCATCCAAAGTTCATCATGTTAATATTTTTCTTTTAAAGTAGAGTTTGCTGATTAAATTTATGGTATTCAGAAAGCTGGAGAATATCAGGTTTTATTATGGAACGTAACTTGTGAGAGGAAAGCAGGAAAACATACGGAGCGTGTCTCAGAGCTGATATACCGTAATGGTATAAGCATCAGATTTCAAATACCCGTGCTGCTTTGATCCCAGTGTGTGAATCCCAGCACTGTTAACTACTCACCCGTACAAAATAAATAAAATAAGGTCTGTGTGCAGTGTCTTATGAACCAAATCCTGCAGTTCCTATGGAACCATAACTCTCACCTAAAGCTGGAGAAACATTTCTTCTCTCAGAGACTGAAGACTGTAGGATTTGGCTCCATGTATAGATCTTTCGGAGGGGACTATAGTAATGACCATCTTCATGTTTTTCCTGAATTTTGCATGGAGTTAATTTAAGAACTAATGCAAAAGCACATAAATAGCTGTATAGACTTGTAGGTATTTATCTGTATTTAAGTTCCACCCTTATTTTCTGTAGAAATAAGCGTGATTTAAATACGCTGGCCATGGAAGACCTAAGCTACTTCCATAAGAAAACTTGTGCCTGGCACTTACGAATCTGTTTTTACCTTTTGCTCTCTGAACGGTTTTAATTGCTTTATCTGCCTTACGGTTGTACTAGTGGTCTAAGGAGCTGCTGTAAGGGAATTTGTCACCAGTGCTGAATGAACTGGCCCCTATATATCCACCATGAACACAGTTTAAGGGCTGATCTGAAGTTCACTGAACTTGGTTTAAGATTTTTCTGTGTAATACAACGGAGTTTGGCCTGTCTGGAAAAATGGAAGTTGTGGGGCAGTGAGTTCAGAAATACAGATGTTGATGGGGCATTGCCCCTAGCAGTGCCCTGGTGTGTGGGAAACAGCTTTTTGGAAACTTCAGAAGGGAGTGGACACTGTGAACTGGATCCACGCAAAGTCTGTGGGCTGAATCTGTGCTGAGATCCCCACAGCAGCAGCAGTTCTAGCCAATTTGCGTTGCATTGAACTGTACAGCACCGCAGCTATTACTCTATATAATCTTGTCATCTGCGTTTGTTGAAACAAAGAGTGCTAAGGACAACTTCCCTGACAGTACCTGACAAGCAAGACCTCTTTAAGCTCGTCTGAACTGCTGAATTAGAAAATGGGTCAAGGTTTTAAATCTTTTCAGAACATGTAGTTTGCAAATGGTTAAAAAAAAACCTTGTTCTGTAGGGATTCAAGGATTAAAAACCGGAGAGTGCACATGGGAGATTTCCTTGAAAAAATAATTGTGTACACCTGACTAGCACTGATCACAGAAACACATGGTTAGCTGGAAGCAGCCCTTGAAACTCACTGGAAACCAAGGATTTTGACCGTTCCTGTATCGTAACCTGTTAAAACACAGCATTGATTTATTATAGGTGATACTTGCTAACTGTATTGAATTTAAAGCAAGGAACAGTCTGCATAGAAACAGCAAGTTAATTGATGTACTTCACTAATGGCAACACTTTATTTTTTAAAAAAAGAAAAAGTATTTCTTTTCCATTTTCACTGTTAGCCTATTAATCTGTCTTTTCATGATATTCAGTGCCTTTCAAAATTTTTTGTCACCTTTTCACTAAGGTCACATTAGTACACCCTGGTTACTGTTGTTAAAGTACAAATGAGTTAATGATTATGTAATTATTTGAAAGTGCTGTCATAGCCATTTTGGAGTATTACTGAACAAAAGAAAGAAAAACTCCCACAAATTTTGCATTTATCAGTTCATTATTACACAGCTATTCAGAAGAGATAAATTTAGATAGTTTTCTAACTCTTGCAAAAGTGACTAGATTATTTTGCTCTGTTTAACAGGACCCCTGGTTCTATTAGGACTTTTTAGAAGTCAGTTTCTGTGATGGAAAAGCACAAGGTGTGATTCCTGCATAAAATGAGTTTTCTCACATGGTGCAGAGGATGTTAATGCTTGCTGCGAAGTGAGCTGCATCGGCAGGGACAGAGCATGCAAACTTGCCTTTTCCTCTTCAGTTAGCGTACACGTTTGGTGCTGTTGCTTTTCATTAGCAGGTGTGCTTGGCACTGACCCAAAATCATGTTCCAAGGACTCCTGTTTCCTCATACGTTAGGAGGAGGAGAGGGGTCAGGGCAGACTCTCTTGGCCATTTGTCTTCCTTCCCAAGTGCCGCGTGCTCAGTGAGTGAAGAGGGTAATCAATAGGGCAACAAGGAAGGAGGGCAAGTAGCCTGCAGTTCCGCGCTCCATGGAAAGCCCTGTTTCTTGCTGAGGTCTTGCAGTTTCCTGGATCATGCAACTCACCAGCAGTAGATCAAGGAAAAGAGATGGATGGGGTTTTCCTCAGGAAGGTATGTAAGGGCTCTGAAATGAATAAAGGTGCCTTGCTCCATTTTACCATATCTTGGAAGCCCTCTGTCGCAAGGGTTGCATAGAGGTCAAAAGGAGGGTGATGGTTTCACTGGTGCTTTGCTTGAATGTTGTTTCTGAGCACCGTGGAGGGTTGCACTGCTCAGCTCAAATAGGCACTGAGAAATGCCTTCACTCTGGTAAGCCAGGACTTGGAGCCCTTGATTTCAGCGGCTATCTATGCATGCATCTATCTGCTGGAAAAACTGGCAGTATATCCTGTCTCCTGGTATTTTTTTATGAAATGAGGGAAAAACAAAAACATTAGAGCATGTATCAGACTGAATGGACCTTCACAGCCTGTACCTGGTGGAGGTACAATGTGATCAATGCAAATGGGTAAAGCATATAGCTACACAGCAGTAGATGTACTTTGCAATTCCTATGTGTATATGTGTATATATACCCTTTTCTTTGCTTCCTTTGTACCAGCCTTCCTCAGTGGCATGAAGGAGTCTCACAGGCCTGTCAAGACAGAGACCCTGACTAACTCTAGAAGGTCTAAGTGTCATCTGAGAGCCTTTCTGTTTCTCGTGATGCTGCAGTTTGAAAGTTCAGCATCTTATAATCTGCCGCGACTAAACTAAAAACTCTTGCATCTGGTAGAGCCTATAGCCACAAATTAGGGGTGGAAGTGTGTATCTCTCCCTGCTTATATAAAGTACTCGTTTCTAACCTTCGCTAATCTGCAATATTAGACTTCAAACTTATCAGTGTTCTAGGAGTGCCCTGAACCTCAGACCAGTACATTTTGGGCGCAAATTCCTCATTTGCAGGAAGGAAGGAAACATTTTTTTTTTAGCAGGTTATTATCTGAAAAAAATGATGGTTGTCTGCAAGCAGCTGATAGGTTTGGAAGGTTAGAGGTAGTCCTGGCAAAGATGGATTAGTGGGCAGAGTGCAGGTGAGGCGGTCAGAGGTGCTGGAGAAATGCAATTTGTCACTTGGTTTCAGAGTTTACTACATGTATGTCACTGCTGCATATTTGGTGTAATTATTTTTTATGAAGGACAGTACTGCTTTTAGCCTGGCTGTAAAGGGAAGTGATATCTGTACTCATAAGATGATAGGAATTAGCCCAGTTGTAATGATATTAACTGGAAAGCCTTGGACCAAGCAGGACTCTGCTTTGTTAAAAACATGCACGAGCGTTTTATTTGCTGTTGTGTGTATTTACGAGGCAGAATTTTTATAGTGAGGCTTAGTTTTCTTTCTGGGTTTGGATTTTATTTTCTAGTGTTTCTGTTACCTCATTAGCCATACTTGCAATTGACTCCTCCTGGTTTGCTTCGTTCAAACTGCACCTACTCCTGTTCAGCCACTTCATTAGCCTGAGCTGTTTTGTGCTATTCTGTCTTCTGAAATGCCGAAGTCCTAATACTCTTGCTTAGGCTGAGTAATCCCTCCCTCTGTGAGAAAGATCTTTGCTTTAAATGCACATGCTCTTAATGAAAGTGTTAGCCACTGTAAGCAAGAGTCTGGCTCGTAGGACTTTACCAGGGAGAAAAAAAAAACCTCTTTCTGTTCGTTCACTTCACAGCTGCAATGCCTCGCCGGTGTCAAGGAAGGTGCTGAGTGCACCAGATAACCTTTCTGCTCTTTTGTAATCCAGTAATAGTAATTGTTGTGAAATCTTCTGCAAGCTTGGCTATATTGTTTCTTTATAGTTGTCTGTAGCAGGTAGTCTGCTTTTGTAATTGTGGGAAGCCATAGTAGACAACTTGCACCAGAAACTATCATCTTGGTAGCAAGGGCAGAAGATATCAGAGAGGCAGTGTTAATGAGAGAGCATCTGCTTTTCAAAGAAGTGCCAATAAATTATTTAAAATACTAAAATGCTTCTTGTTCATTCCCACCTATAGCAAACTAGCACGGTTTTTTGGTTTGTTGTTATGTCTCTACTGGTATGATATCAGTAACTTCTGCACACGTTTTCTGCTGGAAGTAGGAGGCCACTTTCAATTTATACTGATATACAATGGTTAAAGCCCCAGTGAAGTGTTTGGGGGGGGGGGGGGGGGGAGGGGGGAGAGACAAGACAGTGGTTTGGGTAAAGTTGCAAATACGTAACAGTCTTATTTTAATTTTTTAACCTATTTAACATCTTATGTTACATAACATACTGGTTATATTTTTCACATAGGCACCTCCTTTTCAGCCTGCTAGAAATTACCCTGTTTGGATCTCTCAGGTTCTCTACGCATTACTCTCAGGAGAAACCTGTAATCAGACACTGTCACTCATCCACTGAAAGGCTTTTTACGCAACTTCTGACAGTAGCTGTGTATTTGCAGGGTATGCTCTACTGAGCATGCACTACATCCCACTGCACTGTAGGACTGCCTTATGGGGCACACGAGGGGAAAACATCCTCTCAGAGGTGTAGGTGGCTGAAGGCATGAATCGCAACTTTGCAAGGGAATTAATACAGATGATCCATTATCCCAGTGTGGAGGAGACACTGTGAACAGTACAGTAGAAAATACCGCAAAATCTGAGTGAAACTAATTTTTAGAAAAAAGGCAATAAAACCAGCCAGCTTAAGCGCTCTCTAAAAATCTGTCATCGGTAGAATCCGTCATCCAAGATGAGACAATATCAAGCCTAACATGCATTTCAGTTACACAAGTGTAAATCAAGAGCAGCTCTGTTCTGTTTTGTTGTCACTTAAGCCAGTGAAAGCAGAGGAAGGGTCCATCTTCCGATTCTTCTGGGGACTCTGTAAACGGCTCCCGACACTGCAGTACCAGGAGCCAAATGTGATCGCTGTTCCAATTACGTTTCCCCCAGACATGGTCACGCCTGCCTCTGCCAAGCAAAATAACTCTTCCATTACTGCATTCCTCATCCTTTAGCACAGCTCTTCTCTTTAAAAGAAACTTGACCCCTAGCTCTGTCTAGACCACGAGTGAAACGCTGAAGTGACCATAGTTGGGCTTGACTGTAGAATGTTTTTGCAGATGAAGATGTCAAAAGGCAATCTGCAGCGAGAATGACAGCGTGATTAACCAGAATGAGGCCTAAGGCAGAAGTAGCATGGACCACTGGGAAATTAAGGCACCAATTTTACCGTCAAGATTGGCTGTGATAGGGCAGTATATCCTAGCAACAGCAGAAACCTTAAACCTCGCCATCACAGCAAAAACTAATTTTGTGGTGTTATCTGTTCCAGTATCTTTTAATCCAAAAAGTCTTTAAACAGAAAGTAAATACTCACATGTCACTTCTCTATGAACTGCTTTCTTCTCTAATTGGGAAATCCCTAATTCAGTGAATTAAAGGTTACAGGAGCTTTAACACAAGTTTCATTTACTTTACCTTCTTGAAAAAAGTGTCCTGAGGTAGGGTCAGCATGTCATTTTGTTGCAGTTGCAACAGGTTAAGGAAAGTTTTAACGGGTAACATTGTTTTAATCATGCTGTCTCTACTTAGGATAAAATCTAGCTCAAAATCCATATTTTAGGTGGGACCCAATTATGTAAACATTATTTAGAGAAATTACTAGTGGCTGGTAAGAATAAATTTCACACTAAAGAAACTGAAGGATTAAACCCTGTATCTTCATGAAGGGCACATACTTCACATGTGGCAGGGGAGCTTAGCTTGTGCTTTTCAAATTGTGGATTATGGTGCAGTTCAGCCCACCAGTGACTTAGGAAAAATTTTTTGTTTAAAGGATAATGCAGCTGTCTTCAAAGGGCATGTGCTACTTTATTTTTATAATTAGTAAATGATTTCATAGTAAAATAGTCTGTAAACTTTGCATATTTTGGAAAAAAAAAAAAAAAAGAAAAGTAGTATTGTTATGGGTCCAGTGGTAGCATGTGCAATGTTAGCTTTGACTAGCAAGTCTCTGGGTGGGCATGAAGTAGTTTCAGGTGAATGTCCGTGGTCCCAAGTTTGGGTAGACTTAAATCTTCAAACAGTCTTCAATTATCATACTGTTATGCAACATATCCCTATATTCCCATTGTATTTTATGGTGTGTGTGTGTGCGCGGTGGACTTCTCTTCCACTTCAGGCCAGTTGCAGAGTAAATTCTCTCACGAGCACGTATGAGGCTGGGACGGGAGCAGCAGCTCTGAAACTCATTTGTTTCCTGTTGGGAAAGTTCCATATTGAAATTTGACAAGTGGGCCAAATCTTAAGTAAAAGGAGAGCTCTTGGGGGTTACTGCAGGTTTAATCAGCTCTGAAAATTTCAAGAATGTGATGGGGGGGTTTTTTTTTTCCAGTCTGATTTTCAAGGAGATATACCAGTATGTTGTGTTATTTCTCAAAATCAGGTTTTCTGTAGACTTCGTGTTAAGAAGGCTGCTCACAGATTACACTGGTATGTACATGGCAAAAATAATATAAACATTTTTGAAACATGGATACCTAAATGTAGATTGTAATCCATATTTAGACACCTAAGTAGATTAAGCTATATTTTCAAAGCTGTCAAGTGCCTGTAGCTCTCCCTGATTGCAATGGAATTTATGGGTATATATTACCCCTGAAATTCCAGTCACTTCTATTAGGAGCCAAAATTAGGTTCAGAACTGTGATTTATTCATTAAGGCTACAAGTATTGGCCAAACCCCAAGCAGGCAGTATTCTTAGCACCCAATCCAATCAATAGCTTTGATAATAATAGCTCTTACAAGTCCTATTTTGATAAAAGGAAATCAGATCTTCCTTTTCAGTCTACTACTTCCAGGCCACAGCCACCGTTTTGAAAATTTTGGCAAATAAAAAACTTTTGGAAAAGCACTTTACAAAAACCAAAACCAAAACAAAAAAAACCAGAGCCAAATAAATATTTCACTATTGGCCTGGTATAGTTGTTCCACAGGTAAATCAACCAGTATTCTCATTAGCTTCTTGGAAAAGTTTGAAAATCAAGACGTGAAAGTTTGTCTTGCTGTGAGCAAACTTTCCCATATTGATGCAAAAGGGAC